AAGCGGCAGAAGAAGAACCTTGTTTTTCAATATAAAACCAAAAATAAGAAAACGAACAACAGTTTTCTTCATTATTTGCGCCTCCGGACTGAACCAGGACTAAACCAGGACTAAACCAGGACTAAACGAGGTCCGGGACCAGACAAGGACTGAGACCAGGATTGAGACCGGGACCAGAGGAGGACTGAAAATGGTTTAGTCCTGGTTTAGTCCCGATTCAGTCCTGGTTCAGTCCCGGTTCAGTCCTGGTTCAGTCCTGGTTCAGTCCTGGTTCAGTCCCGGTTCAGTCTGTATGCGGCGCATTAGTCCCGCATCGCATTTAAAAGTCACGAAAACGCCATTTCCCATTTCCGTGACTTAAACCAGGACTAAACCGTTTTCAGTCCTGGCCCCGGCCTCAGTCCTGGTCTGGTCCCGGTCTCAATCCTGGTCTTTCTGGTTTGGTTCCGGACCTGATTTAGTCCTGATTCAGTCCTTGTTCGGTCGAATGAACGAATGATACACGGATTCTTCTCAATTTTTACAAAATTCTCCACTCGTTCAGACTTTCCGAGCGGCCGATATTCTCATAATATTATGACTTTATTTTGACTACGACTTTATTCTCATAAAATTACTACTTTATTCGTTTTGACTTTACGTAAAATTACGACTTTTTCTGGCTTCGACTTTATTCTCATAATATTATGACTTCAATTCGAAATTACGACTTTATTCTCGTAGCGCCAGCATATATATTTTTATCTGACCCTTATACTCGGTCGTAGGAGACAAATAATGAAGAAAATAGTTGTTTTTTCGTTTTGTTATTTTTGGTTTTATTTTGAAAAAAACGAATGATACACGGATTCTTCATCTTCCCGCTTTCTGATTGGTCCACAGGCTCTCTACAAGTGCAAATCAGTTTTGCCACATGCAAGTCGCAAAATGTGTCACAAAAGTCCAGGCGCGCAGATTTGAACCTGCCGGGACACATTTGAGAAGTTGCAGTGGCTGAATTGTGCTTGTATCTGTCATAACGGACGCAGATGTCACTCTGTTCATGCAAATATCAATCGACACATTTATTCACATTTTTCTCCCGTGTGTGTAAATATTTTCCACAAGTGAATTTCATTTTTTTTTCAGTCACTCAAGTGCTTTTTTTTTGTTCTCACATTCTCACAAATTTTACAAGTTTTACACTCTCTCATTCTGCAACATGTTTACCTTCATACCGCCAAACCCTAGATCACATACAAGTCGGGTTTACTTGGAAATGTGAACGACCTGGCACAAAAATTGGATTGTTTGAACGTAGATTTAGATGCAAACAGAGCTGCTTAAACAAATTCACTGCACTGGAGCGTCAGAGTTTGAGTTAAAAAAAGCTTCACTTCTCTACATTAAAGAGGAAGTAGCTGCACTTTCGGCTCCTCTACTTTTGTAACAGAATTAAAAAGTCTGTGTAGTTTTGTTACAGTTTGAAACTTGCCGAAATGAAAAAGGTTCATTTGTTTCACTTTCAGGAAACTAAATTCTGTATCAAAATCAAAACATTTGACACTTCAGTAGATTCACAATCTGCCCAAAACACTTGACACTTTTGACTCTAAAGCTGCACTGGTTTAATAAACGCATCAAGAATCTCGGACTTTCAGTCATCGCGCAATTCATACTGGGAAGGATTTTCCAAAAAAGTGAGCATCAAACCTCCATGTTTGTTTTCCCAGTGGGATGTGTGGATCTTTTCAAGTCTTTTGAACCATATCACTTTTGTTTCTGGTTCTGATATTGTCATATTTTAGTTTTGGGATTCGGGCATCGTAATCGTGTGGTTGTTGGATCCTAACAGCGGAAAACGGCTCGAGAAATTTGTTTGTGAACTTCATTAATGCAAAAGTGAATCAGATAAACCTCTGTTCAAACTGTTTCTCTTCCCAACGGAATTGAAAAATAGTGAAAGGTGAAGGTGATGGGCAGGATTGATCCACAGGAAGAACCAAAAAATAAACATTTGACTGCTTAAGAAATCACCTTGAGTTTGCAGAGAACATTTTGTATGTGGAGCGACAAGAAAGCAAAATCCTGTTTGTTAAGCGAGAGGAGCAGAAGACAAACAGACTGAGCTGCACTTTCTTGTTCTTGTGGTTTTACAGAAACATCACGTCTTGGTCTCTTTGCAGTGGAAGGTGTTTCTTGGTGAACAGTTGGAGCCTTTCACTTTGGTGTTGACTTTTTAAATTCGTAACTGAGGTTGAGCGAGGGATCGGGATTTTGCTTTGTTGTCGCTCCACATACAAAATGTTCTCTACAAACTCGACGATGGGCAGGATTGATCCACAGGAAGGAGCAAAAACGAAACCTTTGACTGCCTAAATCACAGGTGTCAAACATAAGGCCCGGGGGCCAGATCCGGCCCTCCAAGACCTTTAATCTGGCCCTCAGATGACTTTCTATTTTAGTAGAAAGTCAGCTGAGGGCCAGATTAAAGGTGTTGTAATTATATTTTCTATTAAAATCTTGTTAATTTTCTGTGGTGTTTATCACAGCAGCGTCTCCAGCGTCTCTGTACGTGGCCCCTCCCACCAGAGCAGCACAAATGAAGACTTGTCTCTTTCCAAACGCTCTTAAAGGACGATCGTTTTGACTGTTGACCGTGACACCCTCATCAGAAAAATGTCCAACATGAGAAAAGTGGAGCCGAGTGCAGGATTTGACTTATTTCTGTTTACATACAAGTTCATGTTAAAACATTGTGTTGAAATTGTATTTTTCTTAAAGTTTCAGGTTGTTCATAATATTATAATATTTTGTAAAAGAAAGAGTTCATCAAATAAAACAGATTTCTGTAATAGATTTGTGTTTCTCTGCACAAATATTAGAACTTATTGTTATTTTTGGGGTTTATATGACATGAATTTTCTGATCCGGCCCCTTTGGGATCAAAGTAGGTTGGATATGGCCCCCGGACCAAAATGAGTTTGACACTCCTGGCCTAAATCATCCCTTCACCTTTCCCTTCCTAACAGAATTGAAAAATAGTGAAACAGTTTGAACGGAGGTTTGCAGTCACAGATTATCGACCGATAATATCAGCCAACCGATATCAGTTGGGCCCTAGTACAGTTGTAGGGAGTATTATCTGTTACATAACTGATTCACCCTCGCTGTGTGAAGGAGAGGTTTCACACGTCTTTCCTTCCTGCTGCCGTCAGACTGTACAACAAACACTGTTAACACTGAACATGTGCCATTCAATTATATCCATGTGCAATTATTTTTAAGTCTGTTTCTTTATTATTTTTAAGCTATTATTTATTATCTGTTTTAATGCATGTTACCTTTTCCTGCAGTTCTGAAATTGCGCGTTGCAACCCTTGAATTTCCCCACTGTGGCACTAATAAAAGCATATCTTATCTTATCTTATAAGGGTGAGTTGTACAGCCGAAACATGTCAACAAGGTAAACACACTTTACTGTACCGTCTTTAAAAAGAACCCAAGAAGTTAAAGTATGTAAGAAGACAAAATGAACATCTTTGACTTAGGCCTGTTCTGCCCAAAGCCCAACAGCGTCTCCCACCGGCAGCATGTTCCTACTACATCTCCCACCCCCAGTGTTACAAAGCACCACGTTTATAAAGCCTGAGATGACCAGAAGACATATTTCAAAGTGAGAAGGTGACGACTCCTGCTGAGGTGTGGCCACATGTGCTTGATCTGACTTGCCTCCACATTCACCTGCGTTTGTCACTTCCTGACAGGATTAACAAGCAAAAGAGAACAGAAGCATTTACATTGACGTGTCTTTCTTTTTTTTTTTTTTTCTTATTTATAATTTGTCAAGTTTGAGGGATTGGATACCCAGCACATCCACAACAAGACAGACTTAACTAAATATAAAACTAACACGCATACAAAAAAATTATAATAATTAAAAAATATATATATATACATATAATAATAATACAAATAAATAATAATAATAATAAATAAATAAATAAATAAATAATATAATAATAATAAATAAAAATAAATTAATTAAATTAATAAATGTTGTTGTTTTTTTTTTTATAAAAAATAGGGGTCTTTCTAACAAGCCAAATGGATTTTAGTTACAAGACCAAATGTGTTTCTAAAAGATAAACTAATCACTATTTTAAATGTAATCAAGCATAATCAATATTTTCCTGTGGGGGTCTGATCTCAGGTAGAAATCACATTCATTTACAGAAAGACAGAATGAGAGAAGTCTTTCCATAATCTAAATTTCTATCACAGCCTAAATCTTGCTGATAGGGGCCGATATTTCACGTGGGCATGAGTAATTTGTCTGTGTGTGTGTTCGTACTGTCCCTGAACACACCACAGAGTTGTTTACAACCTCAGACACAGATCCAAACACTGAGATTATTTTCTTTTTATGGACAATCAGTTTGAGTCTGGATTAAAAGGACATTTATTAGTGCAGACTTGTGATGTGAGAGGAGCTTGTGTGAGGCTGAGAGCTGGAAATGTGGCGATTTTGAAGATAATTTTGGTTATTTCACATTGGTTAGCGATTAGCTGCTGTAGCTACTACAACAACTACAACAACTACTACTACAACTGTACAGTGACTATATTGGCCGTATATTTGTTACTGGACCTGCATTGATATGTAAATAAGCTGTGAATAGAGGTGTGAACGATCGACATTTACACATATAATTAATTACTGCGGTGCACATTTACAGACAAAGGCTGATAGCGGTAGTTTACTTACTTTACTAGCTGCTAGAACATGATGCAAAAATGTCATTAGGCCGACCTACTGTCTGTAAATATGACGTAAAGACGCAGAATAACAATAAATGTTGCCTAAATAAACCAGATTTAAAATCCACTAGAGCCAAACCTAAATTTTTTAAACAATTCAAGATTTACAGTGAATTTTTATGTCACTAAATATATCGACGATTATATCTTTGCTATCGGCAGCTCCAACTCCCATTTTATCTGTATCATATCTGTCGGGCCCTAATCTGTACAACAACTCACACTTATGTAACACAAAACTCTGTGTCCTGTCAATCATCATATCGTTGGACAAAGCAGAGTCACCCGTGTGTGTGTGTGTGTGTGTGTGTGTGTGTGTGTGTGTGTGTGTGTGTGTGTGCGTCGTACCGGTGTATTCTCCGAGGATGAGGCGCGACATGATGACGGTGAAGATGGGGGCGGAGCTTTTCACGGTCTCGGCGAATGAGACGGCGACGTTCTTCAGACTGACGAGTCCCAGGACCACGGTCACGAACCTGCAAGTACACAACACAACACACACTGACTACAAAATACACACAACACACACTGACTACAAAATACACAACACAACACACACTGACTACAAAATACACACAACACACACTGACAAAATACACACAACACACACTACAACACACACACAACACACACTGACTACAAAATACACACAACACACACTGACTACAAAATACACAACACAACACACACTGACTACAAAATACACAACACAACACACACTGACTACAAAATACACAACACAACACACACTGACTACAAAATACACAACACAACACACACTGACTACAAAATACACAAACACAACACACACTGACTACAAAATACACAACACAACACACACTGACTACAAAATACACAAACACAACACACTGACTACAAAATACACAACACACAACACACACTGACTACAAAATACACAACACACACTGACTACAAAATACACAACACACACTGACTACAAAATACACACAACACACACTGACTACAAAATACACACCACAACACACACTGACTACAAATACAACACAACACACACTGACTACAAAATACACACAACACACACTAACTACAAAATACACACAACACACACTGACTACAAAATACACAACACAACACACACTAACTACAAAATACACAACACAACACACACTGACTACAAAATACACAACACAAACACACACTGACTACAAAATACACAACACACACTGACTACAAAATACACAACACAACACACACTGACTACAACATAACACAACACAACACACACTAGCTACAACATACACAACACACACTGACTACAAAATACACAACACACACTGACTACAAAATACACAACACAACACACACTGACTACAAAATACACAACACACACTGACTACAAAATACACAACACACACTGACTACAAAATACACAACACACACTGACTACAAATACACAACACACACTGACTACAAAATACACAATACACACACACACACACACTAACTACAAAATACACAACACACACACACACAAAATACACAACACACACTAACACAAAAACACACAACACACACTACACACAACACACACACACTACACAACACACACACAACACACACACACTAACTACAACGTACACACAACACACACTAACTACAACATACACACAACACACACACACTAACTACAACATACACACAACACACACTAACTACAACGTACATAAAACACACAACACAAAACACACTAACTCCAAAGTACACAAAACACACAAAACACACCAAGTCCGAAGTACACAAAACACACCACACTAACTCCAAAGTACACACAACACAAAACACACATAACACACACTAACGGCAAAGTACCCACAACACACATTCTAGTTTGTTTCATTCACACGTTTGAGTAACACTTCATGTTTAGTCTGTCTACATCCACACAGATTAAGATGCTCCGTTCCACCTCGTGATGTCATGAAGTGGTAGTTTTCAGGTGAACAGTTCCTTTCACTTTTACCTCGGTGGAGTTTGGTGATTCCAGAACTGAAATGATTCAAATGATTCAAGTGGAGGTGTGTGGAGTTTAAAAACAGAGTGGAGCACCGTGTGACATCACAAGGTGGAACAGAGCGCGTGAGACAGGAGGAGGGTCTGACCTCATGAGGCCGACGAAGAGCATGATCATGATGAAGTTGGAGGGATACTCCGAGCGAGACTTGTGCTGGTACAGACAGCACGGCACGCACATCTTCAGAGAACCAATCACAGTCGTGGACAACATCTGCACCGCGCCTGGACACACAGAGACACATGTGAGGACAAAAGACACAGACACACGTGAGGACACAACACAGAGACACACGTGAGGACACAACACAGAGACACACGTGAGGACACAACACAGAGACACACGTGAGGATGCGATACAGAGACACACGTGAGGACGCAACACAGAGACACATGTGAGGACACAACACTGAGACACATGTGAGGACACAAGACACAGACACACGTGAGGACACAACACAGAGACACACGTGAGGACACAACACAGAGACACACGTGAGGACACAACACAGAGACACACGTGAGGACACAACGCAGAGACACACGCGAGGACGCAACGCAGAGACACACGCGAGGACGCAACGCAGAGACACACGCGAGGACGCAACGCAGAGACACACGTGAGGACGCAACACAGAGACACACGTGAGGACGCAACACAGAGACAGAGACATGAGGACACAACACAGAGACACATGTGAGGACACAACACAGAGACATGAGAACACAACACACAGACACACGTGAGGACACAACACAGAGACACATGTGAGGACACAACACAGACACATGTGAGACACAAACACAGACACACGTGAGGACACAACACAGAGACACACGTGAGGACACACACACACAGAGACACATGAGGACGCAACGCAGAGACACACAGACGCAACGCAGAGACACGTGAGCAACACAGAGACACACGTGAGGACGCAACACAGAGACAGAGACATGAGGACACAACACAGAGACACATGTGAGGACACAACACAGAGACATGAGAACACAACACACAGACACACGTGAGGACACAACACAGAGACACACGTGAGGACACAACACAGAGACACATGTGAGGACAACACACAGACACATGTGAGGACACAACACAGAGACACATGTGAGGACAGAGATGTCAGGACAGAGACATGTGGAGGACACCGAGGGTTTAGGGCACAGGGTGGGGCCATGGACACAGAGGACGAGGAGACACAGAGGACGAGGACAGTGGACTGACCCAGCATGCTGGGCTCCCCTCCAGCAGGGACAGGATGTACTTGTTGAGGAAGAGTGTGCAGAAGCTGAAGAAATACCACAGGCCCATGTAGGCCATGGAGCGGCTGTTCCACACACCCGACTCGGCCTCGATCACCGTGGTCTCCGTCACCGTGATCTTCAGCACCTGCTCCCCCGACAGGCTCTCGCTGCGCGCCAACACCACGCGGTCCGGGGCCCGTCCCAGACGGGACATCAGTCGCCACAGCGGGTGTTTGGACATGGACCGGCCCCCCGTCATCGCCACACGGGCCCCGGGGCCACAGGGAGGAGCAGGCGTCACACACGGGTTTGACCAGAGGAACCTTCAGGCCATCACAGCCCTCAGCACGAGGAGAGCACCCGGGGCACCTGCCAGCACCTGCCAGCACCTGCTGACACCTGCCAAGAGAAAAACAGCTGTGTGTGTGTGGCCCTGCCTCAGTCTGTTACAGTGACGACAACAGAGTTTGCAAACACACCGGATACACGCGCACACGCACGCACATGCACGCACACATACACACGTACAGGGAGTCTACACGCGCGCACACGCGCGCACCGGGAGTCTGCAGGCTGCACACGAGCTGCAGAAGTGAGGCGCGTACCCGTGTCCAGGCCCGGTGTGTCCCGCGGAGCAGAGTCGGGCCGCGGCGGGAGGTCCACCTGGACTCAGGTGCGCGGTCCGGTCAGTCTGGCAGATCCGGTCTCAGGTCTCAGGTCTCAGGTCGGATCAGGACTCGGGAGGAAGTGGGACAAAGGACGTGTAGCGGCTGTGATCTGCGCGGAGCGGGAGCGGGAGCAGAACGCACCGGGCTCAGCGACACGACCTGCGGCTCACGGCTCGCGGCTCACGGTCCACGCGCTCCGGGCGGCTCCGGTTCTGGCGCGTAACGGTGAGACGTGGCTGCGTCCATCAGTGAAAAGTCAAGTCACAAACACTGAGCGGAAACACGCCTCTGCGAACCGGAAGTCTCCATCTCAATCCAAAACAAAGGCTCAGGTCACGTGACGGGGCGGAAGAGAAGTCACGTGACTCACTGAGGCTCTTCATCTTCTGTACTATAACAACTACTACTACTGCTACTACTACTACTACTACTACTACTACTACTACTACTACTACTACTACTACTACTACTACTACTACTACTACTACTACTACTACTACAACTACTACTGCTACTACTACTATTACAACTACAACTACTACTACTACTACTACTACTACTACTACTACTACTACTACTACTACTACTAACAACTACTGACTACTACTACTACTACTACTACTAACTACTACTACTACTACTATTACTACTACTACTACTACTACTACTACTACTGACTACTACTACTGCTACTACTACTACTACTACTACTACTGCTACTACTACTACTACTACTACTGCTACAACTACTGCTACTACTGCTACTACTACTGATAATACTACTGCCTCCATTACCACTGCTACTTATACTATTACTACTGCTGCTACTAATACTACCACTACTACTACTTCCATTTAAAAAGTCATATTAAATCTTCTTGTACTCGTTTTAAATCCCACTTAAATACTTTCTTTTTTTTTGGCTTTTCCTCAGTTCGAGTTTTGTTCCACTGTGTTTTTAAAGAGCTTGAGAAATAAAACTGAGCTGAGTTGGAAAATCTAAAATAAAACTATAAAATGAAATAAAAAGTGTAATCGTGTGAAAAAATACCAAATGAGTTTATTTGAGCAGTGACATGTTGTAAACAGGTTCAGAAACATTCGACAAATACAAAGAAAATCCACATTTATCTCAGAGGAATGTTTTTTCCAGTATCTTGGTCCTTTTCTTCTAAAAAATACAAAACACATTTCTCCATTTTTAAACATCAACATCACAGAATTATTATTTTAAAGCAACATTCAGAAAAAAAAAGCAGAATTAAATCATGTTAAAGTTAAAGGTGCATCGCGTAACTTTTCTTTTCTTCTGCTCGTTTCCATGGAGACGTCATTTCTCTGCTTAGAATGTTCCGCAGTGTGACATTAAACATCTCCAACTTTACATTTATTCAAAAATTTGCTCAAAAAGACCCACGCCGCTCCACAGATCTGACCTGTAACTCGGTCTGCTTTGGTTTCCGTGGCGACTGAACAATTTAAAACCACACTCTGAAACATTCCCGACAAAGCGATGCCATCTCCATGGAGATAAATCGCTTGAAAAGTTACACAATGTGTAACTTTAAACTTAAACTTTAAATGTACAGAATTTGGTTTTTACGTTTAGAAAGAATCAACGACTTCCCCGTTTCGCAAAAATAAATCGGAATTTCCAGAAAAATATTCCGTAGTGTTGCTTTAGTGACGAAGAGACAGCGAAGTTTGTTGCGCAATAATTTAATGGTTTTAATTTAGTAAAAGGTATAAAATCTAACAAAGCGTACGGAGCTTAAAGGAGACACGGTGGTCAGGGTTAGTGTGTGTGCGCCCTCTGCTGGTGACAGTGGGAAGTGACCCATAAAAAAAAAAAAAGATTAAAATACACATAAAAAAAAAATAAAATAATGCTAATTCTGTGGAAGACAGGCAGTAAAAGTGCATATGACTATTTTTAATTTAAGTTATTTTTCATTTTAGTCTGATATTACAGAAAACTGACCCATGTGAGCTTTAAATGACGTTATAATGTTATTATCTCTTCAAAAACAAACCTGGACAGTGTTGGGAAGTTTACTTTTAAAATGTAATCCCCTACAGATTACAGATTACATGCACCAAAATGTAGTTTGTAACGTAATCCATTAAATTACTAAAAGTGAGTAATGTAATCTGAAACTTTGGATTACTTGATTTGCTGTAGAGAAACAAAGACGAGGAAATCTTCACATGAGATGTTTTGTCTGATAAAAGAAAATAAAAAGCCCAGACTTTATTTAAACAAATTAAAAATATTATTGATAGAAGAAGAAACACGTCCACACAGCAGGATTTAGTCCTGTTAAATTCTGTTTAAGACATAGTTTAGACCTGGTTTAGACCTGGTTTAGAAGTTTAGACTAGTTTAGACCTGGTTTAGATCTAGTTTAGACCTGGTTTAGACTTTAGACTGGTTTAGATCTAGTTTAGACTAGTTTAGACCTGGTTTAGACCTGGTTTGGATCTAGTTTAGACCTGGTTTAGACCTGTTTAGACCTGGTTTAGACCTGGGTTTAGACCTGGTTTACCGTTTAGACTAGTTTAGACCTGGTTTTTAGACCTGGTTTGGTTTAGTCCTGGTTTAGACCTGGTTTTTAGACCTAGTTTAGTCCTGGTTTAGAAAACCTGGTTTAGACCTAGTTAAGTGTTTAGTTTAGACCTAGTTTAGTCCTGGTTTACCTGGTTTAGACCTGGTTTAAACTGGTTTAGGTTTAGACCTGTTTTAGACTAGTTTTAGAACTGGTTTAGATCTAGTTTAGACCTGGTTTAACCTGGTTTAGACCTGGTTTATTGACTGTTTAGTGGTTTAGACCTGGTTTAGACCTGGTTTAGTTAGACCTAGACTAGTTTAGACCTGGTTTAGACCTGGACTAGTCTGGTTTAGCTGGTTTAGACCTAGACAGGTTTAGATCTGTTTAGACCCTGTTAGAGTTTACCTGGTTTAGACCTGGTTTTAGACCTGGTTTAGACCTGGTTTAGACTGTTTAGACCTGGTTTAGACCTGGTTAGTCTGGTTTACCTGGTTTAGACCTGGTTTTAGACCTGGTTTAGTCCTGGTTTAGTCCTGGTTTACCTGGTTTTAGACCTAGTTTAGGTTTAGTTAGACCTAGTTTACCTGGTTTAGATCTGTTTAGACCTGGTTTAGACCTGGTTTAGACCTGGTTTAGACCTGGTTTAGACCTGGTTTAGACCTGTTAGTTTACCTGGTTTAGACCTGGTTTGATCTGTTTAGACCTGGTTTAGACCTGGTTTAGTCCTGGTTTAGTCCTGGTTTAGACCTGGTTTAGACCTAGTTTAGACCTGGTTTAGACCTAGTTTAGTCCTGGTTTAGATCTGGTTTAGACCTGGTTTAGACCTAGTTTAGTCCTGGTTTAGATCTGGTTTAGACCTAGTTTAGTCCTGGTTTAGACCTGAGTTTAGACCTAGTTTAGTCCTGGTTTAGACCTGGTTTAGACCTAGTTTAGTCCTGGTTTAGACCTGGTTTAGACCTAGTTTAGTCCTGGTTTAGACCTGGTTTAGACCTGGTTTAGTGTCCGACAATGAGTGAAATTACCAGAAAAAAAAAAAAAAATTAAAAAAGGGATTTAGCCCAAAATGTGAAAACAGGAAAATCCCTCTGTGTAATCCATTTATTTCAACAAAGTAACTGTAATCCAATTCCCACTGACTGAAACAGTAACTGTAACTGAATACAGTTACTCATCATTTGTACTCTGATTACTTAACTCTGGTACATGTAATCTGTTACTCCCCAACACTGAACCTGGACTTGGTTTTTTTTCATTCACGTTTTATTAACTCTATATTATTCGTCCGTCTGCATCTCCAGACGTCAAACTGCTCTGCTGCACCTTGTGATGTCACGCGGGGGTAGTTTTTCCAAGTTAAAACCTTTCATTTTTCACTTTTAGTTCACTAGAAATCGACAATTCCAGACCTGAAATGAACCAAATAATTCCAGTGAAGGTGTGTGGAGTTTAAAAACACAGCTCCAACCAAGAAATAAATTTATAAACCAACAAACTTGCAAAAACTGAACCAAAAACCTAAATATTATAACGTTAAAAGCTCTGTGCGTGTTTCTTTAGTCCGGAGCCAGTACAGATTTATTGTCTAAACAGCTCACGGGGTTAAAATAAGTCTGCTGTGTGCCTTCTGGAAGTGCACTGTTAGCATACTAGTGGTTTTGAGCCTTACTGTTAAAGCACAACCGTATTTTTTGGACTATAAGTGGCACTTTTTTTCATGGTTTTGAGTGTTTTCTGCGACTTATACTCCCGTTTTGAGTTATATATTTAAATGTTCACACTGGTGTCCACAAGAGGGCGCTGTGGGCTCGTGTGTGAGTTTCTGCTGCTCCTGTTCCTCCTGTGCCACTGTCACTTGTCATATCCTGCAGATTACAAACTGCAAGTCGTGAAATCTGCAGCTGAGAACGGAAATCGAGCAGCAGAAAGAAAGTTTGGAGTGAGAGAGAAACTTGTGACACTGGAAGGATGCACCATGAAACTTTCCTGGAGTCACTGGATGGACAAAGCCTGGACGTCAGTGACACCGAAACCATCCTGTCGGGTTCAGAAAGACCCGAATAATTCTAACTGGAACTGATGCTGAGTAGGGATGTGCAAAAATATCAAAGTATCGGTATATTGTATCATTGAATGTGATGATAAAGTATCGGTATCGTGGGCTGCTGTATCGATATATCACCAAGAGTATTTTTTTGGTTTGTTACAGCGCGACAATTTTGTTTCTTGTTCAGTGGAAGAAAACTTGCTTAAAGGTTGTATAGAGGATTTTTTTAAGGGAAGAGAAATACAGCGACAGTCCTTGTGCGCGTTCAGAATTACTGTTGAAGTTTCCTGTCTAGAAGTAATTCAGCGACCGACGCGTCAGTTTTTAGACCCTTCGTCTGCTTCGGTCGCGCCATCGCTGGATGGACGAGATCTCCAAGAATCACCTCAGTTTGGCTTTGCTACTTTTCCACTTCTCTTCTTCTTTCAGCGAACTTTTTCTTCTTTTGCGGCGAACCGGTCGTGGATTCTCGTCCGCCGTCGCGACAAACTTTGTGCGAAATGCGAGGAAGCGACAGTTCGAAAAAGCCTCTAAGAACCGCTGCGTAAACCACGTAATCCCCGCACTCCGACGAGTCAGTTATACTAGGGAGTTTGATTGACAACCTAACAGCCAATAGAAAATGAGGGAGCCTCGTTTTCTATTGGCTGATGTTTATCTGGCCTCAACACGTCCACAGTTGATAGATTTTCGTTCTTTTTTTTTTTTTTTTGGTCATCATAATTACAAAGCTGCTGCGTCTCTGTAATGGTATTTTAATCTTTCACTGACAGTTTGAAACAAAAACAAAAATCCTCCATACAACCTTTAAGCGACACATTTGACATTTTCACTGTTTTGATGAGTAAAATGTCCATCCATCCATGTTCTTCCGCTTATCTGGGGTCGGGTCGCGGGGGCATCAGTCTAAGCAGGGACTCCCAGACTTCCCTCACCCCAGACACTTCCTCCAGCTCCTCCGGGGGGGACCCTGAGGTGTTCCCAGGCCAGTCCACAGACATAGTCCCTCGAGCGTGTCCTGGGTCTTCCCACCTCAACTGGCTCCTCTCGACGTGGAGGAGCAGCGGCTCTACTCCGAGCTCCTCCCGTGTGACTGAGCTCCTCACTCTATCTCTAAAGGTGAGTAAAATGTTTGTGTTTCATATGAACTTTGCACAAGAAGAAGTGGTTTAACAAAGACTTTTAGTGTCACAGCCATGATTTAGACTTTATTTTTTTATTAAACCGTATTGAGTCGATTTGAAATATATCGTATCAAACTGAAAGTGCGCTGTATCAAGGTATGCATCGTATCAGCAACTTCTTAATGATACTCAGCCCTAATGCTGAAGAGGAAGTGGCGCTCCGTTTACCTCCCGAGGTCGCAGAGTTTCTCAGATTTAGTTGGATTGGTTTGGATTTAGTGATTTGGAGTGAGATGGAGAGTTTGGTTAAACTTGTTCTGTTGTTTATGTTATAAGTTTATTTGAAGAACTGTTCATATGTGACGTGAACAGTCTGTTGTTCTCTCTTCTGTTGTTTTTACTACAGCTTGACTTTAAACAGAAAATGTCGGTTCTGGTCTCTGATTTTATAAAAGAAATTTTCCCCCAAAAAGTGCAACTTATATGTTTTTTTTTTCTTCTTCATTACACATTTTTTGGTTGGTGCGACTTATTCTCCGGAGCGACTTATAGTCCGAAAAATACGGTATGTTTTTAGTAAAATTTTCAGTCTCTAGTTTAGTCATTTGCACTTTAAGCCTTGAAATAACAAAAAAATTATAGACACGAAGCATTTAAAGAAGATCGACGCATATTTACTTCAAGTCGACTCCAAATCTAAGCGTAACTACAACTCATGATCAAACCTGCTGTAAACACGGAGTCACCCCGACCTGTCTCCTTTAAGCCCCGGCCCGGCGGAGGAGGACGAGGACGAGGAGAACGAGGAGGAGGAGCCTGGATGTGGGCGGCTCTGGTGGGACTGTGATTCCAGCTCACAGGGCAGTGGGGCGGCGGGTGAAACCTGCTGAAGATAAGGCACTTTCACAACAGTTTAGCAGCAGCAGAAGAAGAACGGACTCTGCCTTTGGTCGCTGAGATCGTCTGTCAACACAGAGCAAAGTGCAAGACAAACCCTGATACGAGGAGGAGGAGGAGGAAAATCCAGAGCGCTAAATATACAGACAATCGGAAAAGTTTAAAGGGGCGATATTACGCAAAAGTGAGATTTAAGTCGAGTTAGAACGTCGTTTCCTCGTCAAAAACAGACCTGGACTTGTGTTTTGTTTGATTCACATGTTTAAGTAACTGTTTTTTATTAGTCTGTCTACATTTCCAAAGCTCAAAATGCTCTGTTTGACCTTGTGATGTCATGAAGTGGTAGTTTTAAGGTTAACAACTAAAGACTTTTTTTTCCCACAACAGCCGAAAAAGTCCCACTGTAGATTTGCAGAACGTCCGGTTAAAGGTTTTCTGTGGCAAAATGCGTGTGTAAATGTCTGGCGTATTTTCCACCAAATCTTAAACCAACAAGGTCCAGAAAAGATAAACAATCTTCATGAAGAATTTATTTTATTTATTTATCCACAACTATCAAGGGAAGAAAGACGAAAGCTTAAAGGAGAAAGAACGACGACGACGCTGAGCAAAACGAACGTTATGATCATGAATAAAACAGAAGGAACTTGTTCACTCGGACTGATTCTAGAATGAAAATTTAAAATCGATTTCATGATGTCGATATTAACACAGATAAATAGATTTGTACAGTTCAAATGCGAGACATCTCTAGGACCATGACATTAGTTTTGTTCAGTGTGTCACTAAAGCGTCGTCGTCGTTTCCTTTAAGTTTTGGTCTTTCTTCTCTTGATAGTTGTGGATAAATTCTTCACGTTAGAATGTTTTATCCTTTGTGGAGTTTGTTGGTTGTAGATTTGGTGATGGGGCAGATTTATGAAGCTGCTGGAGAATACGACACACATTTACACACACATTTACACACAGAAAACCATTAACCGGAAGTTCCAAAAGTAAACCAACAGCGGGACACTTCCGAAAAAAAAAGTCTATACTCTAGAAAAAAATCATGAAGTTGTTGCTTCTATTTCTTGATGTTTTTGTTCAGCTGCTTCATCCCCCCCCCCTCAGCACAGGAAACACGTGGTTATTACGGTGACAGTAAAAGGTTTTGTTAAAGAAGGTTATTTCATGTAATAAAGTATAAAAGAATGAGAACTGCGCACATCAGTCACTTGAGACGGTGCGTCGGAGGAGAGGGGAGCGGCCGAGGAACATCGAGAAAAATCCCGCACACTGTTTTACTTGCAAATTGTGAGATTTATTACGAAAACTTGACCCAGTTTGTCCTAATAAATCTCAAAATTTGCAAGTACGACAGTGTGCGTGATTTTTCTCTATGTAATAAAGTGTAACATGTTTTTTGTTTTTTTACATATTTTGTCTCTATTCAATTTAGTTTTGCAATTTTTATTTATTTAATCTATGTGACTAACTACATCTATCTTATGTTAAAAGTACCTGCTGTGTTTTTATTTAATGTTTATGTGCGTTTTAAATTTTTTCAATCAATAAAAATAATTTAATAATCATAATAACGAGATTAAGTATAACGGGTCTTGTCCCGGTGCAGGTATCTTGTAAACGCAGTTCTGTTCAGGGTCAGAATGAGGCCGCCGTGTGCTGTGTTTGTATTAGAAATCATGAAACAGGAAGTGCTCTGTTTGCAGGCTAGTTGTTAGCAGTGACCTGACAGCAAGACTGAATAAAACCTCTGAAAAAAAGAACTTAAAGTGGTCGTTTTAAGGTACAAACAGCTATTTCAGCCTCACTTTAACTGCTTTACTCGATAATACTATGGAAAAAACGCTTAAGTTGTTGCTTTTATTTTTTTATGTTTTCATTTTTGTACGGTTTAGATTGTCAGTAAAAAGTCTCTAAAATCTGCTGGTGCTCTGAGGAGTGAAGCAGTTTCAGTGAGGCTCGAACAAAAGCTGCTGCGACTTCAAAATTTGGGAAATCCACGTCTGAAATTAAAAACACACCGGAGCGATTCCCGTATCACCACTTAATGACATCACGAGGAGGAGGAAAGGAGGTCCAGGTCTGTTTGCGACGAGGAAACGGCATCGTAACGTGTAATATCGTCCCTTTAAGTCGACTGCGCCGCCCCCGTTTTCATAAAACAGGCGGCAAAACACTCCATAAAAATACCGTCACAATTTACCAAAAATACCTCTTATGTTGCACTAATTCAATCGTTAGTAAAAGATAAAAACGCGGTCTGATAAAAGCAGGTCTGAGAAACGCTGTTGGTATCGAGTTTGTTTTTGTAGTTTAAAAAAATGGGGATTATTTTGGCCAAAAGTGAACCGCCCTCTTCGCGTTCAGGAAGTGTAACAAAACGAAGGCATCGGGAGCCAGAGGCCTCCTCCACGCCGACGGAGAGGATTTTTACGTGTTGTGCCTCGTGCTACATTCACGACTAAGGCCGGGCGGTGGGGAAGTGGGCGGGGGTTGGGGGGGAAGTGGGCGGGGTTAGGTGGAGGTGGGCTGAGTCAGGGGGGTGTGGGTCAGGGTCAGTGAAGCGGAGGTCTGGGAAGATGTGGGCTGAGTCAGTGGGTATGTGGGCGGGGTCTGTGGGGATGTGGGCGGGGCCAGGTGTTAGTGGGCGAGGTGTCTGGTCGGTAGGCGGGGTCTGTGGGGATGTGGGCAGGGTCTGTGGTCAGTGGGTGGGGCCAGGTGTCAGTAGGCGGGGTATGTTGTCAGTAGGCGGAGTCTGTGGTCATGTGGTCAGTAGGCGGAGTCTGTGGTCGGTAGGTGGGATCTGTGGTTAGTGGGCGGAGTCTGTGGTCAGTGGGCGGGGTGTCTGGTCGGTAGGCGGGGTCTGTGGGGATGTAGGTGGGGTCTGTGGTCAGTGGGTGTGGCCAGGTGTCAGTGGGCGGGGTATTTTTGTCAGTCTGTGGTCAGTAGGCAGAGTCTGTGGTCAGTGGGTGGGGTCTGTGGTCAGTGGGCGGGATCAGGGGTCGTTGTGCTGAGTCTGTGGTCAGCGGCGAAGGTCTGTGGAGGATGTGGGCGGGGTCTGTGGGGTCATTAGGCAGTGGGTGGGAGTCTGCGGCCGGCGGGTGCGGTCTGTGGGCAGGTTTTGTGGTCGGCGATCGAGTTCTGCGGCCGAGGGGCAGGTTCTGTGGTCGGTGGGCAGGTTCCGTGGTCGGCGGGCGGGGTCAGGGCTCAGTAGTCGTCGTCCTCCGCGCTGAGGTAGCTCTGTCTCTTGCGTACGTTCCAGTGCAGGCATTGGGCCAGGCTCTCAAACCAGTCGTTCACCGGGTCTCTGAAGCAGATGGAGGGCACGGGGAAGCACGACGTGGTGATGGTGATGCTGCGGGGCACAGGACGGGCACAGGACGGGCACACGGTTACCATGGTGACAGCAGCAGACTATGATAAAGCTCTTTCATGTAATAAAGTCGAATATGTCTGATCCCACGACAGATAAAATGTAAAAGCAGCTCTTCAGGGTCAGAATAAGACCACTGTGTACTGTCTGCATGTAATTATACTGTGTTTTAGTGCACTGTTTGCATGCTAGTCAGTGTGATTGGTGTGATGTCAAAGTTGGGAAATGCTCTTATCACAGAGAATAAACAGGAAGCTAGAACGTGTAAACTTTTAATGTTTTCTCTGTCACAAAGAAAGAATGACAGAACCACACAGACACGACCTGAGTCACAACATCAACATAATTAAGAATAATAAGTTTAATTCAATATAATTAAAGTGTAATTTACATTTATTAAGAAAAGGAAAGTCATGTTTTGGTGACAGTTACAGTCAGTTGACGCCTGCCTGGACCTGAGCCCAAGAGCTCCAAACACACTAGAGTCAGGTCCAAACATGACAAAGACAAGACAAGACCCAGGACAGACCCAGACCCAGGACAGACCCAAGACACAAAACCCAGACCCAGACCAGACCCAGGACAGACACAGGACAGACCCAAGACAACACCAGACCCAGGACAGACCAGGACAGACCCAGAGACAGAACCAAGACAAAACCAGACCCAGGACAGACCCAGGACAGACACAGGACAGACCAGGACAGACCCAGGACAGACCAGACAGACCCAGGACAGACCCAGAACAGACCCAGGACAGACCCAGGACAGACACAGGACAGACCCAGAACAGAACCAAGACAAAACCAGACCCAGACCAGACCCAGGACAGACACAGGACAGACACAGGACAGACCAGGACAGACAGGACAGACCCAGGACAGACCCAGGTCTAACCCAGGTCTAACCCAGGACTAACCCAGGACAGACTCAGGACAGGACAGACTCAGGACTAAGACCCAGACAGACCCAGGACAAACCCAGACCCAGGACAGACCCAGGTCTAACCCAGGACAGACCCAAGACAAACCCAGACCAGACCCAGGACAAACCTGTCTCCGTGGCAGATCTCTTGGCGCTTCCTCCCGTCGAAGGAGACCCAGGCGGTGTCCCGGGCGTCACAGGACAGCATGATCTGTACACACACACACACACGCAAACACACACACACACAACACACACACACACACACACACACACACACAACACAACACACACACACACACACACACACACACACAACACACACACACACACACACACACAAACACACACACACACACACACACACACAACACACACACACACACACACACAACACACACACACACACACACACACACACAAACACACAGATCATTACATTTACATAAACAGTATATAACAGAGATTAGTGACTCGTCAGCGCCCCCCTCTGGAGTCTGACTGTTATGACAGGTGACAGGTGACAGGTGCTGCAGGTCCTGTCTCTGATCCTGTCAGACAGGTTACACGGTTCAGAGACAGTTCAAAGGAAAGTTGTGTCTGGTTGTGCAGGTGAGCCGTGACAGGCCTGAGGCGTTTCTTAAAAACAATCACACGTTTCCAATGTTGTTACAGAAAAACATGACTGAGGCAAGGTTTTTAAATATTTTATTACTTATTTTTCTATTTTATTTTGACTTGTACATTTACATTTATATAATCATGTCTTATTTCACACGTGTCCATTGCTATCTTTTTTTTTGCTTATTTAGAATTTATTATTACCATTTATATTTTTGCTCTTTGTTATTATTTTATATTGAGCTGCTGTGTCCAGATAATTTCTCTGTGGATCAATAAAGTTTGTCTAAGTCTTAGTGAAGAATAGTCTGAGTAAGAACTGAGCCAATAATCAGCCTAAAGTCACTGTATATTTGATAAATACAGACGATAATTGATAATATTCAAATGGTTTTATGCTGCTATATCGGCTCCGGTATCGGTATCACCTAAATATGACACAGGGTCGACTGTATCGGCCGATATCACCATTCGACACTGATATTTGATACTGATATTTTTTGAATAATGACTCAAAAAATTGTGTGGCTGCATTTTTACGCAAACACATAACAAATAATTTATATTCCAGTTAAATAAATTTTGTTAAACACCGACCATTGATCAGTGGATCAGACAAGTTTATACAACGGAACTGTTCACGGCTCAACTACGGCTAAAGGTGACAACTTTTAAAAAGAGGTGGGGTCCAATTATTTGACTTTTTCAAATAAGACACTTATGCCCTAACATGCCTTATTTTAATTTATTTTTTAATCTATTGTTTTGTTTTGTTTTTCTTCTAGAGAAAAAAAAAAGTAAATATATAAATTGTGTGAGGGTCTCAGGACACTGTTGATGTGAACTGATTTGTGGCAATAAAAGTAAAAAAAAAATATATATATATACATTTTGTTGTTGTTACAAAAGTAAAAAGTTAATCTGTGATTTTTACCTGCACATTGAAACACTATAAAATGTTCAGCAGGGCTCAGAGTCCAAGTTTTGATAAATCGGTTTAAATTAGACCAGGTCAGTTATCTGGATTCCTGCTGTGTATGAGAGTATGAGTGTGTGAGTGAGTGAGAGCCGAGAGCCGAGAGCCGAGAGCCGAGAGCCGAGAGCCCAGGACCCAAGGCCCAGAGCCCAGAGCCCAGGGACCAGGGACCAGGGACCAGGGACCAGAGCCCAGGGACCAGGGACCAGAGCCCAGGGACCAGGGACCAGAGCCCAGGGACCAGAGTCCAGAGCCTAGGACCCAGAGCCCAGAACCCAGAGTCTAGTGTCCAGAGCCCAGAGCCCAGAGCCAAAAACCCAGAAGACAAAACCCAGAGCCCAGAGCCCAGGGACCAGAGTTCAGAGCCCAGAGCCCAGAGCCCAGGGACCAGAGCCCAGGGACCAGAGCCCAGGGACCAGAGCCCAAGGACCAGGGACCAGGGACCAGAGCCCAGGGACCAGGGACCAGAGCCCAGAGCCCAGAGCCCAGAGCCCAGGACCCAAGGCCCAGAGCCCAGAGCCCAGAGCCCAGAGCCCAGGGACCAGGGACCAGAGCCCAGAGCCCAGGACCCAGGACCCAAGGCCCAGAGCCCAGAGCCCAGGGACCAGAGTCCAGAGCCCAGGGACCAGGGACCAGAGCCCAGAGCCCAGAGCCCAGAGCCCAGAGCCCAGAGCCCAGGGACCAGGGACCAGGGCCCAGGAGCCCAGAGCCCAGAGCCCAGAGCCCAGAGCCCAGGGACCAGGGCCCAGAGACCAGAGACCAGAGACCAGAGACCAGAGACCAGAGACCAGGGACCAGGGACCAGAGCCCAGAACCCAGAGTCTAGAGTCCAGAGCCCAGAGCCAAAAACCCAGAAGACAAAACCCAAAACCCAGAGCCCAGAGCCCAGAGCCCAGAGCCCAGAGGAGAGAACAGACCTTGAGCTGGACCCCGGCGGGCACCACGATGGGCCTGAAGGACAGAGAGTGAGGGCAGATGGGCGTGATCATGATGGCGGGGACGTTGGGGTGGATCATGGAGGCGCCGGCGGCCACAGCGTACGCCGTGCTGCCCGTGGGCGTGGACACGATCAGACCTGGACACAGACGCCACAGTTATAACACACACGCACACACACAGATAAACTCAGTGTAGAGTCGTGTATAAACACCGTCAGAGCTCGTACCGTCTCCCTGCACCGTGGTGATCAGGTGTCCGTCCAGAAACAGGTCGACGTTGGACAAGTACGAGGACGGGCCCCTGTCCACCACCACCTCATTCAGAACCTGGAACACACAAAGCAAAAGGTCTCTCAGGCGGTGGGGTTAAAGACAGGTCATACATTAAACACAACAAAAAAACAATAATATCCTAAAAAAAAAAAAAAACTAGCAAAAATTTACCAGAGAAAACAGGAGGAAATTACATCTGGTGCTACAACCTGGTACAATGCATCTGTTCTGTTAAGGTTACTATAGATTGTTCACTGTCCCTGTCTCAAATAAATAATATGTATGTAATATGTCATTTGAATTTTAACCAGAAAAGTGAACCTCGTGTTCCCTGTCACCCCTCCTGAACATTCTCGTGCGAAGAGAAGATTCTGGTGGTTATCCAGGATTCATAGAACTACAGTTACATCTGCAACTTTAGTTTTATATCCGTTTATGTCGCATTAGCTCCACTTTATTAGTGGAGTTTTGTGTCTTGGGCAGTGTAAACGGAAACGCTACGAGGGAGTGTATTCAACTTTTCCACTCTGGAGCGTGGTTTCACATTTTTTTTCTTTTTAAGCCCCAAAGATGGCGTCATCGTCTAAATGAAAGATGCTTCCAATAAAATATTTTGGGGGCTATAGCCCAAAATGTGAAAACAGGAAAATCCCGCCGTGTAATCAATTTATTTCAACAAAGTAACTGTAATCCAATTACCACTCACTGAACCAGTAACTGTAACTGAATGCAGTTACTCATAATTTGTACTCTGATTACATAACTCCGGTACATGTAATCTGTTACTCCCCAACACTGCATATAACTGCTCAAAACGTGACTACACTGCTCTTTTAGATTTGAGGTAAAAAACAAACTGTGCGTGAGATTGTAGGAAATTTAAATTACATCATTTGTGGAAAATATCAAATCTAAAACCTAAATATCATCCCTAAAAATCTCTGCATTGGCTGCTCTGTGTTTAATTTCTAAATGAAAAAGTCACGTAAAAATAATAAAACACAACGACACTCCCAGGTTTGTTTTTCTAAGGAAGCTCGTCTAAAAGAGCAGAGTCACGTTTGCGTAACTGAAGCAGAGAGCGCAGATTCGACTCGGAGCTGGCGGTTTTCTGGTCGTGTCTCGTAAAACGCTGCGGGCGCTTCTCATGAGAATCACTTCTGTTTACTTTTATTCGCACTATTTACGCCGGAGCGGAACCAAAGAGCGGCTCAGACACACAAACCCGCACAGGCCCCGTCTGCTGACCCGAGCGTGGAGAGACGATCAAATGATTTTAAGGCCATTTCACTGACAGTTTGGCCAAAATTTAAGATATAAACACTTAAATCTATCAGAAAAAGACGTAAAAGTAGTGAAATGAACTGTTCACGCAACAAAATCATATTACTCGACAAGTTCTCTTAAAATAAACGACCTCTAGACTAGAATGAAGCCGTCTCAGAGTTAGTAAGTCGATAATAAATCTGAAAACAAGATGAAAAACCTGATATAAGTTTTAAAATCTTGGCCAGATCAGAGACATTTGCAGTGTGGTACAGTGGGTTCAGTACGCGCCCGCCAACCAGACTGCGGCCGGTTCGAGTGAGAAACAGCAGCACTAGAACTCCAAGCATATGGATACTGGTGGAGACTGAACCAGAAGACTTGTGGTCAGTGGGCAACTGCTTTTCCAACAATGTAGATGTACGGTAGAGCTGCTCGATTATGGAAAAAAACATTATCACGATAATTTTGAAATCATGATTATTTAAATGATTATTTTTTAGTCACATGAAACATTTATTCAGCATTTCTCTCTCTCAAAAAAAAAACACTTTGTTATTGATAATTTACACAAAACTATCAAACAAAATAAATTTAGACTATGAATCTGAACCTTAGATCAGTTTTTTGACATATAAAACATAGAAATTTAAAATAAACTATATATCCAGCTGCTCTATAATCAAAACTCAAAAATATCCCAAAATAAACTCTGTAAAAATCGTTTCAGCTCGATTATATGAGTTTGGAGATTCTTTGACAGGCAAATCAAAATTGCAATCAAAATTAAATTAACTGCACAGACTTAACGTGTGGATTTAAAAACACCGCAGGAGCACGGGTGAGTAGGGGTGTGCAAAAATATCGGCAATATCGATATATCGTATCGTTTAATTTGATGATACAGTATCGATATCGTGGGCTACTGTATCGATATATCACCAAAAGTATTTTTACGTGCGTTTTACTAAATTATTTTGTTACAGAGCTACAGTTTTGTTGCTTGTTGAGTGAAAGGAAACTCATTTATGTGACACATTTGACATTTTCACTGTTTTGAGGATTAAAATGTTTGTGTTTCATATGAACTTTGCACAAGAAGTGGTTTAACAAAGACTTTTAATATCACAGCCATGATTTAGCCTTAATTTTTTATTGAACTGTATCGAATCGATTTGAAATATATCATATTGAATCAAAAGTGCACTGTATCGAGATATGTATCGTATCGTGGCCTGCGTATCGAGGTATGTATCGTATCGGCAAATTCTTACTGATACCCAGCCCTAGTGGTGAGCAATAAAAGGATCTGTAATTGAATAAATGCTGTACTAGGAAACATTTTAGATAAAACAATAGCATCTCCATGGAGACAAGCAGGTTTTGGACCCTCTCCTTGAAAAGTGACATAGTACATACTGATACTCCTCAGCGGGCCCCTCCCTCTATATCCCGGGCAGTGGTGGAGTTAGCAATTTGGGGGCCCGAGGTGAACTTGAGTTTGGGGCCCTCACTATCATGAGACATGCACGTCTCTATTTATTTCAATGATGATGGATTGGAAACTTTTATTAGTTCGGCAGCCTACTAGCCAGAACTGAAAGTAGTTTATTTTTTTGTTTACATCCATTACATATGATGATTATTATTATTTTTCTTATGATTAATGTTTAAAAGTAAAACTACTCTCTTTTAATGTCATATTGAGAGAAAATCAAATTGCTCTGAGGCCTCGGCCGTTAGTGGCACCGAGGGCAGTTGGTTGGGAGCCCCTGCGGGTTTGGGGACCCTAACCAACCACCTACTTTTACCTAATGGTAGCGCCGCCTCTGGTCCAGGGTTCCCACTCTTTTTCAGTGACAACATTTCAAAAATTTTCCATGACTTTTTCATGACCTAAAGTGAATTTTAAATGACTTTACAGCACCTGCATGTGTAGAATGGATCAGACTTTTAGGGCTAAATCTGAAATGTTAATTCTTTCCACTCACCTTATGGTTTGGGATTATAGTTTTTTAACATTCAAAATCCTGTCAGTGCATTTATTGTCGTCTCTTTTAAACAAAAGGCGCAGATGTTCAGAAATAATCAGAATAGTCTCATGAGAACTGAACAGAACGCTGTAGGTGCGTGAAAGAGATACTAAAATTCCACAACTTTTCCACAACTTTCAGTGAATTTACAAAATTGTATGACTTGACATTTTCACTTTCCATGACTTTTCCAGGATTTCCATGAACCCTGTATGTCTCACCTGGTACTCCTCGGCTGGCCCCTCCCCCTCGCCGTTGGTCAGACTCAGGCCGTTGTTCTTCTCCCGCCCCCTTTGGTCACTCTCACTCGGAGACGACTGCGCAGGACCAGAGCTGCGTTTCCTGCACCAGAACAGCACACGTCAGCATCAGGGGGTCAGGGGGGTTAGTCTGGGTCAGTCTGGTTTAATCTGGGTTAGTCTGAGTTATTCTGAGTCGGGGGGGGTCAGGATGAGCCATTAACAATGAACTGTGATAAAAGGAAAAGTAAATAAACTGAGTGGGACCATGGCCGACGTAAGAAGTGGACCAACCCAAAATTTACACCAAAGCAGTAAGAGCACATGAGCAGCATACGCGCAGGTTTGACTTTCCATTTTAACCGATCGGGCGGTTTATACCAACAGGGTCATCCGCCCATCCAACGGCCAACATTACGCTACGCAGCCCTCAAAGTAGCTCAGAGTTCTAACTTCTCAGCGTCAGCGAAGCGTCTCTCCAGCCTTTTTATCAGGGGAAGACAGCAAAAAAGCACGCAGTGTCAAAATAAACTTGTGTTGTTCTTCAAAGATGTTAGTCTGGTCAATACTGAATCTCCTCGTTTTCAGATGGGCGTGATTGACAGGTGGATTAGCCAATCAGGGACATGCATTGTTCATCTGTATCAGAAAAAAAACAAAGGAATAAAATCACACAGAAACTGGAAAACACGGCGGATTTGTGCAGAATCAGTGAGTGAAGAACGAAACTCTTTAATCTGAGGTGAGAAATTTTATTTGTAAATGACACGTGACCAATGAGCTCCTTCGGGTTCAAGTTCAACAACACATCGAGACTCTTGGAGGTTTTCATCTTTTCTGCTGTGAATGGCCCAGGAGTTTCCACCAAGTCATTGTGGATATCACCGAAGTGAATATTTGTCCAGGTAGTTGGCGATTCTGACCAGAAATCTGGTTTGTTCCACCTTTTGTCGGGGTTGAAAAGGGTGATTTGTCGTCCGTCGATGCTTATGACCAATTTCTGGTCAAATGGTCTTGGGTCCTCTGCTGTTAGAGTGGATAAATAACAGGGATCAATACCCTTTACGTGCTTTCTCGCTCCGTCCGTCATGTTCAATTAGTGTTTCTTGCCGCCGACCAAAATAATTCCCAGCATGCAACGCGCGCTTTTGTCAACAATGAAACTCGCCTATAGACCTGGTTTAGATCTGGTACTCAGAAAAACTAATCTTTTCTTTGAGTTTCAGATCTGTTCTTTGGGTTTTATTCTGAAGACAAAAACACCTGTAAGTGTTTGGTGCAGGTTTAGTCGACTTTTCTTCCTGGGAAGGTCATTTCTGAAAAACTTGTTTGTGAAAAGGATTTTCACACGCATATTTTAAAACAGCTCAGGGTGTATTTCAGAGATAATGATCTACATTTTTGTGGACAATTATGATCAGATTGAGAAATGTGTAAAAACAGGTCACACATGTCACACAACAAGTAAATAAGCTGTACACAGAAACACACGAAGGCTGTAAAAAATATTGGAAATCAGAAACTAATCGATATTAAAACTATTATCAAAACTAGATCCTCATTTTTAACAGGTATTGATACTGAAAAAGTCAGAAATGAACCTTTCTGAATGTATTTAGAATCATCTTGAGCTGTATAAGAGCACATATACTAATATACACTCATGGGCCTGGTTTAGGCCTGGTTTAGACCTGGTTTAGACCTGGTTTAGACCTGGGTTAGACCTGGGTTAGACCTGTGCCACTGAGGGATTACACAGATTTAAGGTCACATGGGAATAGAAAAGAAAGTACAACCATTTAATGCTGAAAATTAGGGGTGTGCAAAAATATCGATATATCACCAAGAGTATTTTTTGGTTTATTTTACTAAATTATTTTGTTACAGCTACAGTTTTGTTGCTTGTTCAGAAGAAGGAAACTCTTTTATGCGACACATTTAACATTTTCATCAGGATCAGTGTAAAACTATAAATTATCCCATTATCCCATCATTTATCCCATCATAATAGTGACAGTCCCTCGTGTCGGGCTCCGTGGTGCGTGTTGTAGCGAGGGCGCTGTACCTTGGATGACCTGAGTGAGCTCGGACTGGTACGAGTCGAACTTGAAGGGGGTGAGGAAGCCCAGGGAGCCCAGGTGGAAGGCGATGACCGGGGGGACGCTCTCCTGGACACACAAACAGCAAGAATAAGAAAAGGATTATGCAGTATTTTTTTTTTTTTTTTTTTATGACAGCCTCGTTTTCATGTAGTCCACTTTGTGACATGCGCACTTCTCAGCTCCAGTGTTAAATTAGGCTTGGTTCCATATCCAGAAATATTAGTCCTGGGGTGTTATTAATCTGGCAAAGTTTCATGCTTGTACCATAAAAGCGAACTATTTTGGTGTTTAATAGCTCCACTTTTTCACCTACTTGAGTAATATTTGTATTGAAGTAACAGTACTCTTAGGGCCCGTCCACACTAGTTCGTATTCAAGTTGTTTTCGTTGTGGATGCAGTGTTCGTTCACACTAATCCGGCTGAAAATGGCTCCAGAGACGGAACGATCTGATGCTGCCAGATCTGATCCGACACTGTGTGGACGCCTGAAAACGCTGATACTTTGATGTAGGTCTAAGCGACGCGAAGTAATTCAGCGCCAAGACGCTAAGAGGCTAGAATACTGTATTTTCTACACTATTAGTCATTAAATGGTCTATTTTCAAACTTTTTTCACAAATAAAACGTGGGACTTTAAAGGAAACCCAACAGTGTGATGGGTGAGTGGTTTTGTTTGTTTGTTCGTTCACGGTGACTCTGCGCTTTGTTCAGTTGTGGCGTGTAGGGAGGGTGTGTCTGGGACCAACGGATTGTCGGCGTGTTTGCAGTGACTCAGTTGTTCAGTCGTGTCTAGAAGCGGCACATTGCGCTCGCTTTTTCGGTTCGTTCCTCCATTCCGTTCCTCGTCGGCGTGGAGTGATGAGTGTGTCTGTGGGTGTGTTTCTCTGTGCGGTCTCTGTCTGCTCTGTGTGTGTTTGTGTGTTCTGTGGGTGGTGTGGCTTTGTAGTTTACTGAAGTCGTGCTGGGACACCCGAGTGGATTCGTGTATGGGGCGCTCTGGATTGTGGCACGCGGTCATTTTTTGATGCTGTTAGAGGCTTAAGAGCGCATCCTATAGTGTGGAAAATACGGTATATGTCCATTCATATAAACGTGTGTGTGTACGACCTGCAGACGTATAATCTCTGAAAAGTTTAACATGAACCATCTCCAACACGACAGAAACACAGAACAGACTCACCATCAGCAGAACACCCCTCTGTCACAGAAAGAACACTCATATTCCACTGAGTCGTGTCCTTTAGTCCGACAGAAGCTGAACCGCATCAGCGCACAAGGAGCGAGCTGTTTTTTTTTTTGAGCGCTTAGTTTATACAAATGAGTCATGTGGTTTTAACTTTTGTTTCTGTAAAACGTAAACAAATGTGCTCAAAGCTGTGAGGATAGAGAAGGATTGCAGACACAGAAACGACATGTCTGGACGCAGATTGTTTCGGATACAGTGATACAGTGATTCGTTTCAGTGTAAATGTAACCTTAGTTGAGTAAAAGTTGTGAGTGAGTCTAAAGCGAACCTGGGCATTGTCCAGGTCCTGAGGCTCGTACAGCCCTTTGGTTGACACTGCCTGGCCCGTTTAAGCTCATTTGGAATTACAAAATAAACATGTTTCACATTTCATGCATGGACTAAAGCTGCATTGCTTTAATTTTTATTTAGAGGTGTTTTTTTTAAATCACTTTTTTATAAGGCAGCCTCACTTTTTCATTGCTGAGTCAGAACATAAACTTCTCCCTGTCTGAGCAGCTCGTCAAAACAATGATATTACGTATAGTCGGGGAGCCAAAGTCTCAAAAGCTCAATAAACTGGGTTGAACTTGACATCATCTGCCATACTTTTTATTGTGTTTTTTTTTTTGTTAACTGTGACCCTAAGAACCAATAATTGGAGGGTCTGCTCTTCTGGATTTCAGGAAATTTTTCATTTTTCAAAATTTTTTGTCAAAAAATGAAGGTTACCTACACTAAAATGGCCACAATTTTTTTTCACGATATTTCCGGAAGAGCAGACCCTGCAATTATTGGTCCTTAGGGTCACAGTTAACAAAAAAAAAAACACAAATAAAAAGTATGGCAGACGATGTCAGGTTCAGCCCTTTTTTGAGACTTTGGCTCCCCGACTTCTACTTTTTATAAAGAAATACAATTAATATTATGCAGAACTGAGTTAAGCGTTTTGGCCCGTCACAATATTTTCTGTTTCTCATGTGGGTCCATGGAAAAAAATAATTGCCATTCTCTGTTCTAAAGTGACAAAAGCTTCATGTTGCAATATAAAATGATTTGAACATTTGTGTTTTTTGCAGCTCCTTCAGATCTGATTTAATTTGTCTCATTTCTGTGTCTGTCCTTTGAAAACACCAGATTTTGTGACTTATTTACAGTTTTGTCCTTCACTCTTCATTAACTTCAAATTATAAATCATATGTTAAGTACCAGGTAATTACTAAACTAAATAAACCTTGACTCTGGAGGTAGTCTAGTGGTTTGACCTGTTCCACACAGACACATTCTAGTAAACAGAAGAGCAGAAGAGCGCCTCCTGCAGGTGGAGGCCGGTGTACCTGGAAGAGGGAGGAGGCGTACAGCAGAGTCCCGTCTCCTCCCAGGCAGATGATGAAGTCCACACGGTTGGAAATGTCATCGAGATCTGGATAAAAAAAAAAAAAACACACTCAAGATCAGTTTGTGGAGCTCCAACCAAACTCCGAAAGAACTGGACAAGATTTTAGATTTTATGACCTGGTCCCCGAAGGTTTGACCAGGTTTTGTATTCACCCTGTGTGTCTCTGTGTGTGTCTGTCCATTAAATCGGTCCATAATTTCGCCATTTATGGACCGATTGTCACCAAATTTGGTACGTGGGTCAAGTCCTTGTGCCTCGTGTCTCATCTCGCTTTATGTCTGTCGGCTGAGGAGGAGAAGGGAAGAGTGTCGGAGAAGGGAGGAAGAAGACAAACTGAGTCGACGGCCGCCCACTCCCGCATCCCGCTCGCAAATCCAAAGAGACGTGGAGGAAAGTCCGAAGCCAGGACTGGATCGCGTCAGAAGAGAGACTCAACGAGCATGCGCCGAAGCACCCACATTATTTTTAAGAAGAATAAGCATTTACTACCTTTCTTACTTTATTTTTTATTTAATTATTTATATTTTATTCTTATCTATTCATGTATTTATTTATTTTTCTCTACCCATTTTTTTTTTATTTATAATTTTTTTTTTTTTTTCTCGAACTTACCTGCGACTGATAAATTGTATTGTGCAAATATTGTTTAGTGAATATGTGAATGTGTATGAGTGCGTGAATTGGTTTGTAATTATTATTATTATTATTATTATTTTTATTTTTTATTTTTTGGTTGTATGTTGACCTGTGTTAATAACGTGGTCAGTTGTTCGTGTGAAAAATTTTTATTGTCTGAAAATTAATAAAAATATTGGGGGAAAAAAAAAAAGAATAAACCTTTACATGATCCAGGAAGAAAAGAATTCGGCTTCAAAATCAGAATAAACCACCCACTTACTTCGGAATTAAGTTTAAATCTGAATATTTCATTAGGAATTAAGTGTTTATATCGTCTTTTTAAAGTTGAACTAATTTTTATTCAGATTTAAAGTTCTTATGTAATTGGATCACTGACCACAACAAACTGTCAACAAACTGGAGTAAAACGTGATGAATTTGCACCACTTTACGAATAAAACATTTTGTCCAGCTCCTCTGAGAGTTCCACACCCACCTTCTCTGAAAGTGCAGAACTTCTTGGTGATGGGTGCAAAGGTCTCATCTGCGGATATGGACGGGTCTTCCAGAACCTTCTTCTCCACGTAAACCAGCATGTTCTTCACCTGAGGAGGAAGAGGAGGAGGAGAACATGAGGGTACATCACATCACACAGTAAAACTCACTCCAAACCAACCGCCCACACAGAAGAGATGGGAGTCCAGATTCTTACGACTTAATGACACTTTTCAGGACTTGAGACTCGCCAATAGGAAAAGTAGGAAGTGAACATGACTGCGCTTCCAGCTCCATCGACTCTGGCTCCAATTCTCTTTGTTTTGAAAAACTGTAACCCTTAACATGTCTTAAAATCCATCCATCCATTTTCATCCGCTTATCCGGGGTCGGGTCGCGGGGGCAACAGTCTGAGAAGGGCCTCCCAGACTTCCCTCTCCACACACACGTCCTCCAGCTCTTCCAGGGGGATCCCGAGGTGTTCCCAGGCCAGCCGAGAGACATAGTCCCTCCAGCGTGTCCTGGGTCTTCCCCGGGGCCTCCTCCCGCTGGGACGTGCCCGGAACACCTCCCGAGGGAAGCGTCCAGGAGGCATCCGGAACAGATGCCCGAGCCACCGCAGCTGGCTCCTCTCAATGTGGAGGAGCAGTGGCTCTACTCCGAGCTCCTCCCGTGTGACTGAGCTCCTCACCCTGTCTCTAAGGGAGCGCCCAGACACCCTGCGGAGGAAACTCATTTCGAGCGCTTGTATCCACGATCTCGTCCTTTCGGTCACTACCCAGAGCTCATGATCAGAGGTGAGGGGAGGAACGTAGACTGACCTGTAAATCGAGAGCTTCGCCTTTCGACTCAGCTCCTCTGCACCACAACGGTCCGATACAGCGACCGCATCACTGCAGACGCTGCACCGATCCACCTGTCAATCTCACGTTCCGTCCTCCCCTCACTCGAGAACAAGACCCCGAGATACTTGAACTCCTCCACTTGAGGCAAAGACTCTCCACCCGCCCGGAGAGAGTCTCTGCCTTAAAATGTTCATATTAAAGATGCAAAGATCTGGTTTTCCCACGATTCAATATGTATCTCAATACTACTGCTATGTGTTGTTTATTTATTTTGATATTTTTTCCTTTTTAGTATTTATTGGTATCCTTGCTCTTATTTGATATTGCTACTTCTATTTTCTTTCTTTCTTTTCTTTTCTATTGTCTTACCCAAGGACTAGTGGAGTTAAAAGAGCTTTATTTTATATTTATATTTCTACTGGATATATTTTATTTGTATTGTGCAGCACTCTGTTTTGTTTATGAAATGTGCTGTAGAAATAAAGTGGATTGGATTTGGATTGTTGATCTGGAGTGAGTTTTCCAGGCAATTTATTTTCAGATAAAACAGAAGTGTGTGCTGATTTTAAGTTTAGTTTTGTCAATGTTTCAAATCAACTCCGCAGAAGGACGAGGTCTGTGTGCTTCTTTGGATGGATTAAAACCATCAGCGCGCGTGTAGGTGAAGAAATGATTCATGTTTCGAACTTGAATGAGTCCAAAAACTTTTATGGGAAACATTCATTATTTTGGCGTCAGACTCCAGGAAGAAATTTGGTAAATAAAGGTGAGGCTCCGGTAAATTCACTCCCACAGTTTACAGAAAAAAACGTGACTTCAAATGAAAGTGAAAGTCACTCCAGTAATATTTAACAGACGGGTGCAGCTAAAAAGAACAAGTCATTCAGTCAGTCAAATTTGTATTTTTGTTGTGATAAAGCAGGTTTTGGAGTCTTGTTACCAAAAGAAAAGTCAAAGTACAATGTAATAAATAAGAAAATCTGTCTCTGTCTCCTCCTCGTCACGTTTTAGAGCCTGAAAACCTCCCTGTGATCTGAAACGTTCAGCCTCTAGAGCGATGTTCTGGTCGGTGTCGTGGTCGGTGTCTTGGTCAGTGTCGTGGTCAGTGTTTTGCTGATGTTCTGCTGATGTTCTGGTCGGTGTCTTGGTCAGTGTTCTGGTCAGTGTTCTGGTCAGTGTTCTGGTCGGTGTCCTGGTCGGTGTCTTGGTCGGTGTCTTGGTCAGTGTCTTGGTCGGTGTCTTGGTCAGTGTCTTGGTCGGTGTCCCGGTCGGTGTTCTGGTGATGTTCTGGTGATGTTCTGGTGATGTTCTGGTCAGTGTTCTGGTCAGTGTTCTGGAGGTGCTCTGGAGGTGTTCTGGTGATGTTCTGGTGGTGTTCTGGTGGTGTTCTGGTGATGTTCTGGTGGTGTTCTGGTGGTGTTCTGGTGATGTTCTGGTGATGTTCTGGTCAGTGTTCTGGTCAGTGTTCTGGTCAGTGTTCTGGTGATGTTCTGGTCAGTGTTCTGGTGATGTTCTGGTCAGTGTTCTGGTGGTGTTCTGGTGATGTTCTGGTGATGTTCTGGTCAGTGTTCTGGTCAGTGTTCTGGTCGGTGTTCTGGTGGTGTTCTGGTGATGTTCTGGTCAGTGTTCTGGTGATGTTCTGGTCAGTGTTCTGGTGATGTTCTGGTCAGTGTTCTGGTGATGTTCTGGTGATGTTCTGGTGTTGTTCTGGTCAGTGTTCTGGTGATGTTCTGGTGATGTTCTGGTGGTGTTCTGGTGATGTTCTGGTGATGTTCTGGTGTGTTCTGGTGTTGTTCTGGTGATGTTCTGGTGATGTTCTGGTGGTGTTCTGGTCAGTTGTTCTGGTGTTGTTCTGGTGGTGTTCTGGTCAGTGTTCTGGTGATGTTCTGGTGATGTTCTGGTGGTGTTCTGGTGTTGTTCTGGTGATGTTCTGGTGGTGTTCTGGTGATGTTCTGGTCAGTGTTTTGGTCAGTGTGTTCTGGTGATGTTCTGGTGATGTTCTGGTGATGTTCTGGTGGTGTTCTGGTGGTGTTCTGGTGGTGTTCTGGTCAGTGTTCTGGTCAGTGTTTTGGTCAGTGTTCTGGTGGTGTTCTGGTGATGTTCTGGTCAGTGTTTTGGTCAGTGTTCTGGTGGTGTTCTGGTGGTTCTGGATGTTCTGGTGATGTTCTGGTCAGTGTTCTGGTCAGTGTTCTGGTGATGTTCTGGTGGTGTTCTGGTGGTGTTCTGGTCAGTGTTTTGGTCAGTGTTCTGGTGGTGTCCCGGTGTGGTGGTGTGTACCTCGATGAGGAAGCGGCAGAGCTCCTTGAAGGGCTGGAGCAGAGCCGTGTCTCGGATCTTCTTGACGACCAAAACGCTCTGAGGCGGAGTGTTCCAGGTCAACCTCTGACTCGCAGGGTCCTGGATGTGCCTGAAAACACACAGATATACACGTTTTAGGTTAGGCCAGGGTTTGCTCTGGTTCAGACCTGGTTCAGACCTGGTTCAGACCTGGTTCAGACCTGGTTTAATCCTGGTTTTGTTCTGGTTTAGTCCAGATTCAGCCATTGTTTAGTCCCGTTTCAGTCCAGGTTTAATTATAATTTAAGTCCTGGTTCAATTCTGGTTCAGTCTTGGTTTAGTCCAGGTTCAGACCAGGTTCGGCCCTGGTTCAGCCCTTGTTCAGTCCTGGTTTAGTCCATTTTTAGTCAAAATTTAGTCCAGGTTCAGACCTAGATCAGTCCTGGTCCAGTTCTGGTTCAGTCCTGATTCACTCCTGGTTCAGTCCTGGTTCAGTCCTGGTTTAGTTCTGGTTTAGTCCTGGTTTAGTCCTGGTTTGGACCAGTTTAATCCTGGTTTAGTCCTGCTTTTGTTCTGGTTTAGTCCTGGTTTAGTCCTAGTTTAGTCCTAGTTCAGTCCTGGTTTAGTCCTGGTTTAGTCCTGTTTTAGTGGAGGAAGTAGGACTAAAAATAAATCAGCAGAACACTGATATATTTGAGATGTTGCAATGATCAAACCTCAAAGGCTGTAATTATTTAGACCACAGAATGTTCTGTTTCTTTATTATAAGAAACACCCTGACCACACCTGCAGTATGTTTTAGTCCTGGTTTAGTCTTGCGGTAGTCGTGATTTAGTCTTGCGGTAGATCAGGTTCAGTCCAGGTCCAGTCCAGGACCAAACTTCTTGTTGTTCCTGTCATCTTCACGTTTCCTGTTCTGAAATACATGAGATTCTTGTTTTTGTCACTTCAGATTTCAGTCTCTGTCAAACCTGAACTCTTCTGGAGTTATTTACAAAATGTACTCTGAACAGAATCCGACTGTTCAAACATTATTCGACATATTTGACAGAAAACACGTGTCCAGAAACGCGAGAGTCTGAAACATGAACTGATAAACAAAAACAAGAATCTCACACATTTACAGACAGGGAGGGCATCTGATATAATCTGACACAGGGACATGTTTGTTCTGATTTAGTCCTAGTTCAGTCCTGGTATAGTCCTGGTTCAGTCCTGGTTTAATCCAGGTTCATGCCTGGTTTAGTCTGGGATTAGTCCAGGTTTTGTTCTAGTATAGTCCTGGTTTAGTCCTGGTTCAGTCTTGGTTTTATCCAGGTTTAGTCCAGGTTCGGCCCAAGTTCAGCCCTTGTTCGGTCCTGGGGCAGTCCTGGTTCGGTCCCAGTTTAATCCAGGTTCATGCCTGGTTTAGTCCTGGTTTAGTCCAGGTTTTGTTCTGGTCTAGTCCTGGTTTAGTCCTGTTTCAGTCCTGGTCCAGCCCTTGTTCAGTCCTGGTGCAGTCTTGGCTCAATCCTGGTTTAGTCCTGGTTTAGTCCAGGTTCAGTCCTGGTGCAGTCCTGGTTCAATCCTGGTTTAGTCCAGGTTTAGACCAGGTGCAGACCTTGTTCAGTCCTGGTTTAGTCTGGGTGCAGTTCTGGTTTAGTCTCGTTTCAGACCTGGTTTATTAAAGTTCAGTCCAGGTTCAGTCCAGGTTCAGTCCAGGTTCAGTCCAGGTTCAGTCCAGGTTTCAGTCCAGGTTTAGTCCAGGTTTAGTCCAGGTTTAGTCCAGGTTTAGTCCAGGTTTAGTCCAGGTTTAATCCAGGTCTATGTCTGAACTTGGACTAAAAACGAAATCTGCAGGACACTGATAGATCCGAGTTGTTGCCATGATCAAACCTCAGCAGTTTTTACACAGAATAAGACCGTATGGAGACACAGGGAGGGCATCTGACATAATCTGACACACACAGACATGTTTGTAGAGTCTGAACTACAGGGTGGGGCGCTTTTACACAGAAAACCTGGTGGACTCTGGACATCTTGTTGTTCAAATCACCAAAACGTCATGGTGAGTTTGATACCGGCTCCAGTTTAAACACTCACGATGACTGTGGAAAAGTGCGATCGGCCCTGGTCCTGCCCCTGACTCTGCCTCTGGTCCTGCCTCTGGTCCTGCCCCTGACTCTGCCTCTGGTCCTGCCTCTGCCCACACTCAGCTCTGCTCACTTTTATTATTCATATTAAGTCTTCAAGGTTAAAGGTGCACTATTGTTTTGTTTGGAATGTTCCCAACTATGGCATTATATTACACAAAAGTGACTCTTGTGAGCGTTTAGTCACGTTAAAACGTCAAACACAGAGTTGCAGTTTTGTGTTTTGTTTCATTGACACATGTTTGAACTTTTATTATTTGTCTGTCTACACGTCCAAAACAAATAAACGCTCTGATCCACCTTGTGATTAGTCGTCCCCCCTCATCGTGGACAGGTTTAATCTATTTATGCTTTTATTTCTGTAGGTTTTTGGGGTAAAAAGTTACACAGCGTGGCTTTAACCCTTCCAGATTGATGGTATCGTAAACAACACCGGGAAATGTTTTTGATTAAACTGTGCAGAACTTTCCAACCTTAAAAGATAGAAACGTATTATTTTTTTTACTTAAAAAGCTGAGAGTTCCTAGCCTGATTCATGAGCCGGTTTCACTTGGTGGAAACCGTGTGACCTCGCAGCGTTAGGATTCGTTCGCTCAGAGGTTGACAGGTACTTTTTTTTATTTAACCAATCGCTGCTGTTTGGTCGTGACGTATGAAATGCTCCAAATCCCGTAGGAAGAAGGACAAAAACGTCTTTCCTCTTGATAAAATTCACCAAACATTGTCTTTGTTCAGGCTTTAAATCCTTCTGTTTACATCCATTTCGACGCTTTGTTTACCGTTGTGCTGTTCCACAAAAGGGACACAGACAGACTCACAGCTCACAGCTGATTGGTCAGTGCGCCGTCTACAACTTCCGGGGTTTTTGCAAACCATCTAGTTCAGGAGAGTCAAACTCAAATTCACAGAGGCCAAAATTTAAAACTGGGACCAAACATGGGCCAAACTAAATATTTATTTAAAGATTTCAACATCATCTGCTCTTCTTTCGAGATATGCCTGATAAACCTTTTCTTATTAAAATAAATGTTTAATAATAATTTAGCTTAAACACTGAATCTAGAACAAGTATAATATAAAAATAATAACAACATTTTAAATAAATAACGTCTCTATAGTCGATCTGTAGCTGGCGAGCAGCTCTAATACAGATTTGATATGATCTCACAGGCCAAATATAATTATATTGTGGGCCCAATTTGGCCCCCGGGCCTGAGTTTGACATGTGTGGTCTAGTGTTTTCTGATTCCTGATCTAGTCGCTGGAGAGAAATGAAATTTAGTGGAGGCACTAGGTGGCACCAGCCTGGCTAGAGAGTTGTGTCTTTCTGAGCATATTTCCAGCATTATCCTACATCACTTACTGCGCGATGACGTAGGGAAAAACGAGTGTCCAGTAGGAACTTTGTTTTTCTCCAAACTCATCTGCTCCGTCCATTTTGATCGGCCCAAACTTTGCCAGAGAGTGTAGTGAGTCAAAATGGTCGATGCTCTGAGCTCAGTTCAGAACAAGTGCAGAGATTTCTCAAATAAATGTCAAATTACACATCTTGGTCTGTGTAATTGTGCATCCGTTGCTATTTTTATTTTCAGGTCTATTTCAGTCCAAATGTCCAAATCCAAATGTAATAAACTCCATGGAAACGCAGGAAGTGATGTGGCTCTGAGCCCTGGACCTGACTCCAGCTGATTCCACGGCTGACGCCAGGAAAGTCATGGCTCTTTTTTTTATTTTGAGGCAATAAGGATATTTGTAGTTTATTTACAGACTTAATATCTTGCACTTTTGTAGCTAAGGCCCTAAATTAAGCTTTTTTTTTATGTCCAAAAAGTTGTTTATACATGTTTGCTGTGTTTTGTATGAAAGACTGTGAATTTTCTTTTCTTTTTTTCATTTGTATTTCTGTTCGTGTAGTTTTTATTACAGCCACATGACACAACTACAGCCGCAGATTGTGAAATAACAGGTTGTACTGAAAAAGACGATGTATAACACTTCATTAGGGGGTAAAATTGGAAGTTTTAAATGCAAAATTAAGAAAAAAATCCAGGCGAGGACAAATGTACTAAAATTACCCTTAGGTCTGGAAGGATTAAGCAAAACAAAAGGGGGAAAGGGGTCGAGCGAACGAATTCTAACAAAATACTAATAATGTTGTTTCCTCATCACCATTTTACCTTGTGATGTCATGTGGCAATTAGTATGGAACCCGAGAGGGGTCGCAACAAATGCAAACGCCGCAAAAAATACCAATGCAACAACACAACAAAAAAGTCACAACGGAAGTGACCGCGGGACTCTATTTTCCGACAGACCGATCAGGCGCCAAGTGAAGAAGAAAAGAACTACAACGTGAAAAGTAAAGGAACGGAGAAGTTGGAAAACGTAAGTAAAAGTAATTTATTGTTTTATCATTATTCGTTTCACGTTGTAGTTCTTCTTCTTCACTTGCCGCTTGATCGGTCCATTGGAAAATAGAGTCCCGTGGTCACTTCCGCTGTGGCTTTTTTGTGTGTTGTGGCTTTCTAATGTGTTGTGGCGTTTGTATTTGTTGCGGCATTTGCATTAAAATAGAGTCCTGCGGTCACTTAGGTTGTGGCTTTTTAATGTGTTGTGGCTTTTTAATGTGTTGTGGCATTTTAATGTGTTGTGGCTTTTAATGTGTTGTGGCTTTTTAATGTGTTGTGGCTTTTTGATGTGTTGTGGCTTTTTAATGTGTTGTGGCATTTGTGTTTGTGTTGTGGCTTTTTAATGTGTTGTGGCTTTTTAATGTGTTGTGGCTTTTTAATGTGTTGTGGCTTTTTAATGTGTTGTGGCTTTTTAATGTGTTGTGGCTTTTTAATGTGTTGTGGCTTTTTAATGTGTTGTGGCTTTTTAATGTGTTGTGGCTTTCTAATGTATTGCGGCATTTGCGTTTGTATTTGTTGCAATGTTTGCATTAAAATGGAATCCCGTGGTCACTTCCGTTGTGGCTTTTTAATGTGTTGTGGCATTTTAA